TTTATAAATCCTAGACCTCGTCGTCCTGTTCTCCCGTTGGTCCGTACTGGGGCGCTGCAATGGAGACGGAAAACTCGTGAGCGGATTGGCTCGCAGTCTCCGGCGCATCATTCAATGCCCACGTGAAGCCACACGGCCGGAACTCACATGACGTCGCCAACATGGCGTGCTTCTCACCTTCGACCAATGAATTAACATCAATATGGCTACTATCTGTCACGCCACTACAGTAGTATAGAATATCCGAGCCCTAATAGGAAAAAGACAGGTACAACAGATCAGGCTTTATTGACCAATCACTAGTCAGAACCACACATCAGTTGCCTTCTTTCCGAGTCCACCACGCTGGCCACGCCGCTCATTATATACTGCACCTCAGTCGTATCCTTCTCTGGTTGGCTGCTTATCTTCCTCGCATGCCACTGGAACACAGAGAGACACAGGATTGGCTGCGGCCAGGTGGTCCAACATGTCTGCGCCCTGAACCGGCGCCACTGTAGAATACCCGAGCCCTAGTAGGTAAAAGACCAGTACAACAGAACAGGCTTTATTGACCAATCAGAAGCCAGAGCCACGCGTCAGGCGCCTTCCATCCGAGTCCACCGCGCTGGCCACACCGCTCATTATATACTACACCTCAGTCATGTCCTTCTCTGGTTGGCTGCCTTCCTTTCCCGCATGCCATTGGATCGCAGAGAGACACGGGATTGGCTGAGGCCAGGTGGTCCAACATGTCTGCGCCCCGATTCGACGCCACACACACTGCCTCCCCCTCAGCAGTGAAGCTGTCCTCAGCTTCTGGATTGGTTCACTTCACTGTTCATGAGTGATAAAGTATCCAGTTCGACACTTCCCACACTCCACATCTGGCTGGTTAGTGGCCCATGCGAATAGTTGACGAGGGACTTTGCTCTTGTAGACTTGCAGGAACGACTCATCATTCATTGAAGGTCTTTCGCAGATGCAGTCCAGCTGGCTTTCACTCTCCAAGTTGTCGTCGCTGAGTTGCCAATGGCTCTTCAGATGCAGTGGTCCTAATCCCGGGTAATGTTTTAGGATCCACTTTATTGGACATCGGATGACCGCCATGACAAAGTCAGCTGGCATTTAAGGGTCTTTGCCTCTGTTGACCATAGAAGAGAAAGAATGGGTTTGCTTTGCGTTATTCAAACGCATCCGCTGCCACCAGTGCAGATTACCCGGGCCCTAATTTGTAAAAGCCCGGTACAACAGAACAGGCTTTATTGACCAATCACATGCCAGAACTACGCGTCAGCCGCCTTCCATCCGAGTCCGCCACGCTGGCCACGCCGCTCTTTATATACTGCACCTCAGTCGTTTCCTTCTCTGTTTGGCTGCTTATCTTCCTCGCCTGCCATTGGAACGCAGAGTGACACAGGAATGTCCGCGGTCAGGTGGTCTGATATGTCTGCGCCCTCAGACGTCGTCATACCACACCACGTCGTCCTTCCCATGTATTTTGCAACTTCCTGGCTTCGCTCGCTGCTTTCGTCGTAGCCATCCACACTTGGTCACCTTCCTCTACAGGGGTACCATGGGCCCGTTTATCATAATAGTCCTTTTGTCGCTTGTGAGCTAGGGCTAGCTGTGACCGGGCTGAGTCGAAAGAAAGACGCAGTTGGCCTCGTACTTCAGCAACGTATGCGAAAGGTCCTACGTAATCCGGCTCTCGAGGTGGGGGTACCACGACGTCGGCCAGCAGCCATAACTCATGTCCGAATGTCATTATTGCTGAGGTCAGACCAGTGGAGGAGTGGACAGCCGACCTATATGCTAGTAGACATGCTGGCAAGGCGTCGTCCCACTGATTTAAGGCATATTCATCGAGTTGAAGTCTTGTGAGCATCTTGAGTGTCCTGTTAGTTCGCTCGACCTGCTAATTCCCTAGGGGATGATATGTCGTAGTACGGCTTCTGTGAATGCCTGACAAATCGCAGAACCCCAAAAGCAACGAACTTTCAAATTGGCTACCTCTATCAGTATAAATTTGGTACAGGACTCCGTGATCAGCAACCCATCCTGCCATAAATCCTTTTGCTACACACACAGCATCTGCCTTGTGGAGGGGTACAGCGTCTGCCCACTTCGTAAAGTAGTCAATCATAACTACAATGTAACGGTTACCGCTAGTCGTCTGAGGCAAGAACCCCATAAGATTTAAGCCAACAAGTTCATTTGGGAATGCCGCTGTCATGGGTTGTTGTGGTGCTCTGGTCGCGCTTGGCGGAGACTTGACCTCACCACATCGGTAACAACACGCGCAAATATCATTTATATCGTCACGCATGGCTGGCCACCAATATCGCTTACGGGTAGCTTGCTCAACTTTTGCTGGTCCCAGGTGGCCCAAACTAACATGTAGCTCGGTCACGACTTGCTCCACGGCAGACCTTAGTACTAACACTCGCAAAGGGTACGATGGTCCAAACTTATAGTATAGGACGCCATCCCTAAAACTAAGCTTATTCCGGGCAGACCAAAGGACTCGGGCTTCTTGGGAGAGCCCGTGCGCTGCCTATCGTATATGAGGCTTATGTTGGGATCTTCCAATTGAGATGCACCCCAATTCTCAACCGTAGTTTGTTCCATGGAGAAGGCGGCTACGTCTGCAGTATGTTCTGGAATCCTAGACAAGGCATCCGCATTCTCATGCTTTTTTCCAGGACGATATTTAACTTCATAGTTGAATTGGCTCAGCACCTCCAGCCATCTCGCAATAATGCCCGAAGCTTCCTTGAAGTTATGCAACCACCTGAGAGCTTAATGGTCAGTACGTACCACAATCTCGTTGCCCAAAAGGTAGTGCTTATAGTGCTCCAAGAAGAACTTTAAGGCGAGCTTTTCGCGTTTAGTAGTGCAGTAATTGCGCTCAGCCATCGACAAGGCGCGGCGGCCAAATGCAATAGGGTGTTCTAAGCCATCGGGTTGAACCTGTGAAAGTACCTCCCCAATCGCTTTGTCTGACGCGTCCGTATCCAAAATGAACGGAGGGCGATCCTTTCCCACAGTGAGAAAGGCCAGTACTGGAGCCGTGACCAGAAGAGCTTTGAGGTCACAGAAGGCCTGCTGACACTGATCCGTCCATGCCCAGAATCGTCCTTTCTCCGTACTTTGTATGAAGTGGTGAGGCGATATGGGCGAACCCTTTGAAAAACCTACGGTAATACGTCGCGAATCATAGAAAACTCCGTAGCTGTTCTACATTGGTCGGTGTCGGACATGTCCTAACTTTCTCTGTTTTATCCAGATCCGTTCTGATGCCTTCCTTAGAGAAAACGTAGCCCAAAAACTAAACTGACTCCATGATGAGTGTGCATTTCTCTGGGTTAAGTTCAAGTCCCGTCCCACGAAGTCGTTCAAAGACATTACGTAACCTTCTAATGTGCTGCTTGATGTCCATTGCGTGGACAATCACATCGTCCATATAGACCAAGCAATTCTGCGGTACCAGGCCTCGTAGGACTGGGTTCATAAGTCGTAGAAACGTTGCGGGGGCCGCAATGGAGACGGAACACACGTGAGCAGATTGGCTCGCGGTCCCCGGCGCGTCATTCAATGCCCACGTGACGCCACACGGCCGGAAGTTGCACCCCCGGTCACATGACGTCGCCAACATGGCGTGCTTCTCACCTTCGACCAATGAATTAACACCAATATGGCTGCTACCTGTCACGTCGCTACACCACACCGGTTCAAAGTGCAAATTCGCGCTTCCATGATTCAAGCATGCACCCAGATACCGTGACAAATAACGTGCCATCTGAACGTTTCGGTCACAAAGTCGACATTAACCCCACCCCTGATATTTACATCCCACACACAAAAATCCGTGGTTCACCGCGACTCAAACTTTTATCAAATGCTCATGTTTCACTGTTGTCTTTTTGACCCTGTTTTCCCTCTTACCCCCGACCCGTTTGTGACCAGATTGTGGCTTGTTTCAGCCTTCATTAAAGTACTCCCTTTCGCCTTACTCTCTTCTTGACCATACCTTGGATCGGAAAAGCACACTACAGCGGTTCAAAGTGCAAATTCGCATTTCCTTGATTTAACCATTCACCAGGATGCCGTGACAAATCACCTGCTATTTGAACGTTTCGGCCACAACGTCGACATAAACCGCACCCTCGACACTTACAAACAAAAACCCGTGGTTCACCGCGACTAAAGAACTCTCCAGTGTCAACACCCCACTGAATTTTCTCAACAACACAACTATTTGCTACGTATTCGTTTCACCTC